AAAGTGACACTTACAGCTGTGATTGTGTTAGTAAAATATCTGCGTGCACATAAAGTGACACTTACAGCTGTGATTGTGTTAGTAAAATATCTGCGTGCACAGAAAGTGACACTTACAGCTGTCGGGCTGTGAGCTGAGGGTCAGAGTCCAGCCTCACACTGGGGGGGGTTCCTCCGTGATGTGATGGCTGGGGGGTCCCGGGAGCCGCTTCCGGTCGCGCGAACACCACAGCGTCAGTCCACTGACTCGTCAAACACACGCTCTCTGTCTCACGCGCACACACTTGCCATTCTCCGCCTGCAGCCTCACACCCGGACAAACATGTCTGACTGAGCCGTCACGCTCCGAGCCGCTGCCGACTGTTTACACTCTGATCAGCTGATCTTCTTCTTCTTCTTCTTCTTCTTCGTCTTGTGTTTTATGGCGGTTGGCAAGCAACGTTTAGATGTGCATTACCGCCATCTACTGGAATGGAGTATGGATCGGGATGCTAAATAATTACTATAGGTTTAACTAAATAAAATAATAAGAAAATAAGAGAAAAAAAAAAAAAAAAACTATATTCTCTCGATTATTTCCGTCTTCTTAAGGTAGCTTAACAAAAAAACAACAAGTTCAGAAGTGAGAAGTTTATCCAAAAGATCCTGTATATTCAACTGTACTTTGTTGACCTGTAGTCTATGTGCCAGTTCCTTCCTCTCAGCTGAATATTTGGGACAGAATAATAAAACATGATTCACTGTCTCTTCTTGAAAACAAAAGTCACATTTTCCTGTAGGATGTTTTCCCATTTTAAACAATGTACTGTTTAATCTTGTGTGGCCAAAACGCAATCTGGATATGACTGTTTCCTCCTTTCTATTTCGTCCTGTTCTCCTCATCACACCAACTTTCCTTTGAATGTTATAAAACCACCTGCCAGTTCTTTCTTCTTCCCACTGTTTCTGCCATCTTTCCTTCACCTTTTGTTTAATAACTGATTTGATTTCTCCTTTACTGAATGGTACCAGTATATCAATGTAAGTATTTTTTGTTGCTTGTTTTGCATATTTATCTGCCAACTCATTTCCTTGTATTCCTATATGTGATGGTATCCATATAAATGTAATTAATAAACCCATCGCTTGAATTCTATAAATTAATAATTGAATTTCTAATAAAAGGTCAGGTCTGCTGTCTGAATGATTATTTTTCAATGAGTATAATGAAGAACTTGAATCAGAACATATTATACTCCTTAATGGACGAACTTCCTCAATCCATCCCAGAGCTAAAATGATTCCCATCATCTCTCCTGTGTAGACTGAGACTCCATCAGTAATTATTTTACCTGTTTTGAAACTGAATTCTGGAACAATGAATGAAACCCCGCTACTGTTATTTGAATTTTTTGATGCATCTGTATAAATTTTAACATATCCATAATACTTACTATCTAAATATGTTTGTATTGAATGAGAATCTGAAATGTTTTCTTTTTTACGATTTTCCAACAAAGTGAGATCAACATCACTATTACTTAAAAGAGATGGGTGAACTGGAGACTGAGGAACTGTTTGACTAATATTTATGTGAGATATATCTAAATCTTTTATAATGTTTTCTACAGTCCAGCCAAATGAATTTAATTTCTTTTTCTCTTTTTCCCAGCTAGGTTTTAAAATCTCTTGACATGGATGATTTCCATTATGACCTTTTAACTGACACCAGTAAGTTGAAAGTATTTGTAATCTTCTAAGCTGAAGTGGCATTTCTCCCATTTCCACCAGTAAAGCTGATGTTGGAGTTGTTCTGATGGCACCTGTACATAATCTCAAGGCTTGATGCTGAATATTATCAAAATTTTTGAGTGGTGTAACTGATGCTGACCCAAATGCTATACTGCCATAATCAAATAAGGACCTAATTAAACCTGTGTATATTGATTTCATTGCTTTCCTCTCAGCTCCCCACTCACTCCCCACCAAACACCTCATTACATTTAACACTCTCTTACATTTATCTATTATGTTTTGAATATGCACTTTCCAAGTAAGTTTATTATTTAACCATAGACCCAAAAACTTAAATTGCTTTACCCTTTCCAAATCATGATTATATATTTTCAATTTTACATTTTCAGACACTTTTTTCCTTGTAAAAAATAAAGTCTTCGTTTTATCTATAGAAATTTTGAATCCCCGTTTAAAGGACCAGTCTTCTATTTTATTAATTGCTTCTTGTGTCTTTTTTACAATAAAATTTAATTTTTTTCCCCTCTTCCAGATTGCTCCATCATCAGCAAATAAAGAAAACCACATTCCATTCTCCAAATTTCCAAACATATAATTAATCATAATAGAAAAAAAA